TTCAAATTATATTATTCTGTCATGTACTTGAAAAAAAATCAATAAAAAACAAGAAATAATTAAAATGAAGTTAGTAATACAAGATTTAAAAAAAAGACTTCCTACTGCAATGACAAGTTTATTCCACTGCATAGAGAGGCACTCAAGTTATCACCAAGCATAACAAGTGCTTCCATTTCTGTAAATCAAACATTATCTGGATAAGTGTTATACAGACAAGAGAGCTTATTTTTTAAAATAACTGATTTTAGTAACTGGAACTGACATGACTATAGAGTATCTGTTTCTCACTTGGGTTAATAAGAGAGTGCAGCATTTATCCAAGCTGACACACTTCCATTCTAGCTGAAATCATAGACTGAAGAAGAAAGCTTTGACCTTTAGAGTGTTATTGAAACTATAGGTATTTGTTGATTCCAGGCAAATAAGAATCTAGGTAATGATGCCAACCAGAAGAAAAGATGAAACAAGGATAATCCGTTTATAGTAAAAAAAAAAATCTCTATTTCTTTATTTCCTAAACTTTTTCATATGTCTTTCTATCACATAATATCCCTCAGGATTTAGAAGGATCTAACATACACACCCTCAAATATAGTCTCACTTCATGCTCAATTTTATCCAATTTTACTCCCACACTGCTCCTTCGCTGGAAACTGGCATTCCATTCTGATTCTATAAATTTTTTCACCTCATTGATTGTTTCTTTTGCTGAGAAGATTTTTAATTTCACAATACCAGACCTTAAACTATACAAAGCTATAGTAACAAAATAGCATAGTATTGACTACAAAATAGATATGTAGACCAATGGTACAGAATACAAAACACAGAGACAAACCCACATAAATATAGTTATCTCTTGTTGTTATTTTCTACTTCATACCATTGTGTTCAGAAAACTAACTTGATATGATTTCAATTTTAAATTTGTTACAGTTTGTTTTTTGGCCTGGCATATCATTTGTCCTGAAGACTGCTCTATCCAGGAATTTTCTTAAAAACTCGAGAGGACTTCTCTAGATTGTGTATTCTGCTACTATTGGATGGAGTGTTTATGTCTCTATATGTCTGTTTGATCCATAATGTTATTCAAGTCCTCCATTTCCTTATTGATATTTTCTCTAAATAATCTATCTGTTGCTGAAAGCATAGTTTTGAAGTTTCCTAATATTATTGCATTGTTATTTGTCTTTTCAAATCTATTAATATTTGCTTTATATATTTATATTTTTCTGACATTATGTGCGTATGTATTTACATCTATTATATCCAATTGAAGTATTTATGCCTCTATACAGTGACTTTACTTTTCACTAGTGGCTGATTTTTGACTGAAAGTCTGTTTTTTTCTATGAGATGTGCATTAATCCCTGCTCTTTGAGTTACCATTTCCATGAAATATCTTTTTTTTATTCTTTTTCTTTAATTCTATAAAAGTTAGATTTTCTCATAGACAGCATCAAGTTGGACCTTGTAATATATTTTTCCCAATTAAACCATTCTGTATCTTGGAGATTTTAATCCATTTGTATTTATATTAGTTATTAAGATTTAAGGACTTATAATTGCCATTGTTGATTTGTTTCTTGCTGATTTATAGTTTCTTTGTTCCTGTCTTCTCATTGGTCTTGCTTTTTTATTTGTTGATTTTTTTTGTAATAGTGTGCTAAAGTTCCTTTTTCATTACCTTTTACATACCTATACAGTTTTTCTTATTTCTTATCCTATTGAAGAATTCTTCTTTTGCTCATTTATTATTTTCTTAATTTTGTGTGTGATTACCATGATGTCTACATAAAACATACTATAGTTTTAATGGTCTATCTTAAGCTGATAACTTCAACCACATACAAAAGCTCCATTTTTTTTTTTTTTTTTTTGGTGATGCTGGCAATTGAACCCAGGGAATTATGCATGGCAGGCAAACAGTCTACCAACTGAGCTATATCCCCATCCCAGAAGCTCCACTTTTACTTGTCCTCTTCACACCTTTTTTATGCTGTTAATATTATACTTTATACCTTTTAATATTGTGTATTCATTAACAAGTTATCATAGCTATATTTGTTTTTTCATCTATCTTTTAACTTTTATACCAGAGTTAATAGTGGTTTTCCCACTGTCTTTTCATTGCTGCTGAATTCTGAATTTGACTATGTATTTACTTTTACCAGTTTTATATTTTTATTTTGTTACTTACCTTTTATCTTAGTTTGAATATTTCCTTTTGCATTTCTTGCAAGGCAAGCCTTACACAGCATCACAAGCAGTGATGACATTCTCAGCTCCTATTTGTCTGAAATGTCTTTATCTCATTTATTTCTGAATGAAAGCTTTGCCAAATAAAAATTCCTGGGTGACAGTTTTCTTTCTTCTTTAGGTCACCACCGTGAATAATCTTATGATGGCCATTGAATGTGACAAGTCACTTTTCTCTTGCTACTTCAAAATTCTATTTTTGTTTTAACTTTCGACAATTCAATTATAATGTGTGTCTAGGTAAGCTTCTTTGAATTTATCTTACTTAGCAACTTTTAAGCTTCATGAATCTGTTTATATCACTGCCAAAATTTGGGGAATTTCCTACAATTATTTCTTTAAATAATCTTTCTATATTTTTGTCACTCTCTTCTACTTTGGTATTCCCATAATGCAAATATTCATTCATTTTATGGCATATTACAGGTCCTACTTCACCCTTTCTTCACTCTTTTTCTTTCCTTTATCCCCTTCTAACTAACATCAAGTGACCTGTTTTTGAGTTTACTGATTCTTTTTCCACATGATTGAGTCTGCTGTTGCAGTTCTCTGTGGAACTTTTCAGTGTGTCATGGTATTCTTTTGCTCAAGTGTTTCTGATTAGTTGTATATTTTTTTGTATATGTTACTTTATCAAGTTTCTTCTTTTGCTCATGCATTATTTTCTTAATTTTGTTTAGTTATCTGTGTTATCTTTCATCTCATTGAGCTTCTTTAAAATGATTATTTTGAATTTTCCATCTTCATTTATATCTCATTTTTTTTAGGGTCAGTTATTGGAGTTTATTAATCTCCTCTGATGACGTTATGCTTGCCTGCGTCTTTATCATCCTTTCAGAGGTGTCTGCATCGTTAAGACAGCAAACAGCTTTTCCAGTTTTTACAGAATGGTTTCAGTAGGCAAAGACTTTATTCTGTCAGACTCTCAGGCTAATTGGAATACATCCAGTATTATGGCCAAGCAGGTTGCAATCAAATAACATGTCTACTCCCAAGTCTTCACTTGTCATACCTGTTATGAGGGGTGTGGGTACCTGGTTCCTGGGTGAATATGAATGCTTCTAGGACCTTGTTAAATAGGGATTTTACTGGGACCAGGGTCCACATCAGGACCACAATTGTATCTGCAGATTCAGGTCTGTTACCAGGTTCTTGGGCAGATGTGACTCCTGCTGAGTGCCTGGGAGGGATTATGCTGGCTCACTGAACAGGTTCCTGAACAAGCATAACTGTCCCTAGGTCATGCCTGACTGGGCTGGAAGCAAGTCACAGGACTGCTTCAGGGTTTACAGCTGGAGCCAATATCAGCAACTCAGCCTTTGGATATACAGATGAGTTCATCTCCCATTGAATTGTTAGGTGGACATAACTACCCTCAAAACTCAGCTGAGATAGACTGGAGCACAGTTGCATACCTTTGTTAGTATATTCTATGGGAATAAACTCAGTGGCCTGTCCCTGGGGACATGAGTGAGCATGTCTCTTTCTGGTTGTCTGGACAACCTGAATGACTCCCAGATCATGGCTGAGGGGGTCTAGAGCTGGGTTGCATAGATACTTTAGGATCTGTATTTGAATGACTGCCATGCCTATGTCAGGCATGTAGGTAGGTGTGTCTACTGCATTGTTCTTGTGTGGGCAGAACTATGGGAGGTGCTATAAGTGGGTCATAAGCTACTTTGATGTCCACTTGTGGGACTGGAGTCAGCAGGTCTATGATTCTAGGCATGGGTGGCTGTGACTCTTCCCAGGTAGTAGACCAAAAGGCTATATCCAAACCAAGGGAGGAAGGGCTGTTTCTAGGTCTTTAACTGGGGCCATGTTCCATGATCTTGCCACCTGTGCATGGGTCTGCCTTTTCAGAATAACCCTCCTCAGTCTAAGGTTCCATTGGGATTTCACAGCTTCCCACTTGGATCTCAGAGCACCCATATAAACCTTTTCCCCACAATATATACCAAATTATTGTTGCTATGGGGAGATACAAGCAGGGGCCATCTTCTGTCATCTTGTTGACATCACTCCAAAAAATTCACTTTAAAACAGATTAAGATGCCATTAACTACTGAGAGTAAAATAGCTATCACTCTAGAATTATATACCCCAAATAAGCTAACTAATCTTTTCATCTAGCAATTCCATTCCTAGGTATATACAAAACAATGCACTGAGCATTATAACCTAAGTGTAAATGATTAGTAGGAAAGGTGTAAATGAATTATGATTTATATGTGATGAAACACAAAGAACAGGTAAAAGAAATAACCTAGGCTAATAAATCTCAAGATATATAATGTTGAAAAAACAGAGTAGCATATTATATATTTTAAGTCCAACATGAAAAAATTTTATCATTTGTGGATATATATTTATGTTGTAAAATATCACAAAACACATGAGAGTGGAGTATATCAATTTTCAGGTTGGAGTTATCTGTGGGGGAAAAAAAGGAAAGATGTGAGACTGGGGTATATTTTGGGGGGTCTTCCATTGTATTTCTTCTATATTTTTAAGTACTGAAGCAAATAGCAAAATATCCAGATTTGCTATAGCAAAATAGCAGGTACATGTGGGGAACCTTTAGGTTTCTCAGTGGATTTCAAATATGGTACAATAAAAAATGGGAAACAGAGAGGTGACTGTGTAGATAGCACCTGGATGGGCGTGGTGGCCTGTCTATCTTTATGAGGTGTCACAGAGAATGATGCAATAGAAGAGTCACAGGCTTTTCAAAATTTGCTTACTCACAGTTTTCCCCTTGAAGGAGAAATACCTGTGAAGTAAGAAGACCTAAAAACAAACCAAATACTATTATGGGTAGCTTCATGTTTTCCATAAAATAGGAAAGAGACAACAAATGGTATCTTTCATTCCATGAGCTCTATGCTACTTGGTGGGGGAAGATGAATGGCAGAACAAAAATGAGAAGGGGTGCACGGTTTTTTCGAGGTCATTCTGAAGAACCTGGCAGCAGTGCAAGTTTTAATGTTTTGCTTTCAGAGCATGAAAACCCTGATGGAAATGGGTATGTAACTTCCAGAATCGTTTCTGTAAGAGCTTATGTTGTACATGTCATGTGTGAAGTTTGTGCCCTGTTTACCTGGAAAATAACTGAACAGATGTTGTAACTTCCTTTTAGAGAAAATCATTTCCAGTTTCTATCAGTCACCGTGTTTCCTGTGGCATGCTCTCTTCTTTCTATGTCAGTGGTATTTAGATTAATTATAGAAGTCTGGGGACAAGGACTATGAAAGAGAAGCCATATTTTTTAAAAAATGAACCTCAGCAGCAGTAATTTAAACCTTAGAGATGACTCAATTTTCACTGAAGGCCTAACTATCCAGTCTCCATGGTATACAGAGCTCAATGCTGGACAGAAAGTGCTAGCTATAGAGTGGAGTTTGTTACACTCTCAGATGAGAATTGACTAAACAGCTTGATAATGGGTACACATTTTGAGCTAATAACTGAGTTTCCCTTGTAAACATTACATAGTGCCTGGACAGAGTTTGCAGGGAAGCCCTGTCCACTTGGATGGGCCAATTATGCTGCCTGATGGGACAAGAAAACTGAAAATAATGAAATAACCATCCCAATAGTACCAATAAAGCACTTGCATAGAAACAAAACTATGTGTAAAAAATGTAAGAATTGCTACAGAGTTATAAGTACAAGAAAAACAGCATTTTAAAATCAGTCAATAATAAAGCATGCTTTGCTCAAATGGCAGAATCCCACAGGCTAGGTGAAGGCATAGAAGGACTTTTGCAAAGCAGAGCCTGGCAGCCAGGCTTAAAAAAAAAAGCTGGATTAATCTTTGATAAATATTATAATATAATAATTTTAATCAAACCAGTCCTCCAGCAGAGACCATAATTAACTTTTGAATACCTTTCTTTAGATAGTGGGCTCTACCACTTCTTATATGACCAGCAATAATTAAAGGATTGAATGATTTCAATAACATACTTTCTGGAAGTAAGAGTGAGGAAAACTCTCTTAGCTACTTTGGGGGAGGTGAGGCACTTAGAACTTCTGTTAAGGAATTGGGTGACTCATTCTAAGTCTCCCTGTGTATTGAAGCTATAGGTTTACAAAGCTCAACTGACATTATAACTCAAGAGCAGATCAGTAAAGAGTAAATTTGTACAACATTTCATCAACTAACTCAAAAAACATTAAGTAATCTGTTTAATGATAGTTGAACACAATTAAGTAAAATTTAAGGAAATATTCGTATCTAAATATGAATCACATCATTTCCAGACTTTAAGGTTACCTTCTTAGACATTCGTTGTAGACCTGGGCAGGGAATTGTGCTTTTCAGTTGATGGAGACTAGTTCAGAGCCAGTAGGTGAACCAAAGTGCTGAGAGAATTGATGTTCTGGGAGCATGTCACCAGTCTTTCCTAAATTGCGACACAGATCTTCCCCTGTTGCTTCCAACTTACAACCTTGTGTTCTAGCTCAAATTATTTAAGCAACCCCCTTTTCCTTTAGTGCTTTTTTAAAAGGTTGAGTGTGAGGGTTGGTGAAGTCACTTATTGGTATAGCATTTGCCTAGCATGCAGGAGGCCCTGCAGTTTTTCCTTAACCTCCACCAAAAAAAAAAAAAAAAAAAAAAAAAAAAAGTTGAGTGTGAAAAGGTTATGACTCCAACTGCTTTGTAAAACTGTTTGGCAAATCTGCTGCAGTTAAATATGCACATACCTTATGACCCAGCAATTCCTCTCTTGGGAATACACCTAAATGACATGCATGCAGGTGTTCATCAACTAATCACGTGAGAATGTCCATAGTAGCATTGCTTAAGAATATTTGTGAAATAATTGTCCTAGTCCCAAATGCCCATCGATATTAGAATAGACACCAGGGTTATATCCACGTGGTGGGAGACTAGAGAGTCATGAGAATGAATGAATCACAACCACACACAACAGCATAATGACTTACAAGCATATGCTGAGGAAAGGCAGGCAGAGCACATACACACAGAGTTCCACCTAGGTACATGACAAAACTGAGCACACCTAGTTGGGATACAGCTCAAGAGAGCTGTTACCTTCAGAGGAAGAAGACAAAGATATGAGAGGGCTTTCTGATGGACTGGGTATATTCATCTGATTTTAAAATAGATGGAAGAGTTAAACAGAAAAAAATTTATTTTCTTAGAGTTTTGGAGGCAGAGATCAAGGTTCCAGTTGATTTAATCTCTGGTGAGGACTCCTTTCCTGCCTTGCAGACAGCCACCATGCTTATGTCCTCGTGTGGCCCTTCTTTTGTGTGCACAGAGACAAAGTGCTCTGGACTCGTCCTCTTCCCCTTCTTCTAAGGACATCAGCCCTATCCATTTAGGACCCACTCAGATGAACTCATTTAACCTTAATTAGCCTCTAAAGATCCTGCACAGTCATATGACATTTACAGATTCTGTCTTCAAATATAGTCACACGGTGGGGGAAGTGCTTCAATATCTGTATGCAGGGGGGCAGGAGTGCAATTTAGAGTCCACAGCACTGAGGTTGTTCTACCTCACACAATGATGTGCTATACAATTATAATTTGTATACTTCTGTGTGCATGCTCTCTATATCTTAATGCAAAGTGGAAAGAGGCTTATGATGACTTAACATTTATTAAATAATTTTTATCATTGTACTTAAGTTTAATACCTAATTCCTGCAAAATCAAAGCCATACTTGAGACTTTCAGGATACCTGTCTTCATTTTTTTTCTCATCAGCATTTAAAGAATATAGATAGGCATATAATATGACCACAGTAACATATGTGTGAATAAGGACCATGAAAGTATGGAAGTGTGTACCTTAAGAAAATTATTTTCTCTCTATTTCAAGAATAATGGATTAGGGATTAAGTTAACTCACAGAATCTATGTAGAATAAGCATGAATGTGAATAGCAAGCGTGTTTACTTGGGAGTAGTGGCTAAAGTCCAAGTCAAAGCTTAATAGTAATGGATTACACTGTAAAATTCTTCTTCTCTTTTATTTTTTACTGGCTTTTTTTTTTGTAGGTTAACTCGATCATGGAAGATTATCTTAAGTACAATATTTATATTTACTTTTCTTCTTGTGGGTAAGTTTTAACTAATGATCCTTAAAGCAGTTTCACAGGATATATCTGTACAGTAAGAGAGAGCTCAGAGGAATGGCTTATATTTGTAATTAAGTGCCACAGAAATAACTGTAAGGGAACTGCACATTTTGGAAGCATTTTTTTTTGTCTCTCATTGTAAAAGAAATATGTTTCTTTATAGAAAAATTTAAAAAGTTTTTTCTCTTAGAATTGTAGTTTAAAATAACAGAAGTTGTAAAATTTAGAGTCCTTAATATATATATTGCAAATACATTTTACATTTTCTAAAGTTGAGTGGCTCAGTTTGGACAGCCAAAGACTTAGTCATCACATGGTTCCAAAGATATTGCTGTTTTACATGCAGTTTTTGGCTTTTGACTGACCAATATTACAAATCACAACCCCTGGACATTAGAAAGTTTCTCTTGAATATGTTGACAACTTAAGATATGGAATTCCTACTGAAACCAGGGTTTCAATTTGGTTAATTCCACAAAATGTAATTTATAATATAGCAGTATTGTGTATGCTGTTATTGTTTTTGTTGTTGTTGCATATGTATACTTGAACTGCTGCCTTAGCCTGACCCTACATCAGCTCAAAGTGAGCATGGCTGCATCCTCTATCTGTAGCTTTAGTGAACTGAAAGCACCCCTCCCAACTCAGGGGATCTCCACTAGGTCTTGAATGTTCTTGTTTCTGGTAAGAACTGCATACTTCTTGACTTGCTTTGTTTCCTGGCTGTCTTTTCTTCATCTCAGTTAACCTTGAAACTGTTAGCTTCATCTTTTCTTCCCCCTCTGGTTGTTGCTACCACTGTCTTGTCATCCCTGTGGATGAAATATCCTCACAGCTCTGGCCCAGGCTCATATGTAGTGATATAAACCTGTTTTATTCTGGCTCCACTTCAGTGCCTGAGTTAGGTGCACACAGTGTGGGAAGTAGAGCTTTTTAGGTTCAGAATATTTCTCACTCCAGAAATTATATTTTATATTCCTCTGACATCTGTGTTGGTCAGTTTTACATTACCATGACAATATACCTGAGACAATCAACTAAAAAGAAGAAAGGTTTGTTTTAAGCTTATTAATTTCAAAAGTTTCAGACAATGACCAGTTTGCCCATTGCTTTTGGACTGATGACAAGGCAGAACATCATGGTGGGAGCATGTGATAGAAGAAACTGATGATCTCATGGTGTCCAGGAAGTGAAAGAGAGAGAGAAAACATAGGCCTTAGTCCCAGGATCCCCTTTGGCCTTTGGGGAACACTTATACAAACTGTAGCAACATCTTGTAAGATACACATATATCAGATATGTGTATATTGTGTATATTGGATACAAACTGTTTATTTTTATTTTCTTAATTTCAAGCTGGCTAATTTACCACCAAATGTGCTAGATCCATTTTAGATCCTACTGAGGCATTAATGATTTCAGTAGGATTAAGTTGGATTCTGATACTCTTGTTCTGTACTGAGATGAAATTACATAATATAAAATTAACTATTTTTTAAAGGGAATACCATGCTCCAAACATTTTTTATTTTCATTTATTTGTTTTTATGTGATGCTGAGGATCGAACCCAGTGTCTCACACATGCCAGGCAAGCACTCCACCACACCACTGAGCTACAACCCTAGCCAAATTAACTATTTTTGAATTAATAATTCAGAGGCATTTAGTACACTCACAATGTTGTATAATCACTTTCCTCTCTGTACTCACTAAACATTTTCATCCATCCCAAAGGAATTACCCTGTACCCAATGAGCAGTTTGTGTCCCATTTCCCCTCTACTCAGACCCTGGTAGCCACCAATCTGTATTCTGTCTCTACACACTTCTTTTGGAATCATACAACATGTGTCCTTTCTTGTCTCATTTCTTTGGCTTAGCATAATATTTTGAAGGGTCATGCATATTGTAGGGTGTATCAGTCAGTCCTTCATTCATTTTCATATCTAAATAATACTTCGTTATATGTATGTACTGCATTTTATTTATCCTTCTATCTACTGATGGACACTTGGACTATTTCCACCTTTTGGTTATTGTGGATAGTGGTGCTATTGTGGATAGTGGTGTTTGTTTGAATATCTGCTTTCAATTCTTTTGAGTGCATACGAAACAGTGGAGTTGCCAAGAAAGAACTGGCAGACTGTTTTCCACAGTGGCTGCACCACTATGAATTCCCACCAGCAGTATATGATTAGCCTGATTGTTCCACATCTCTCCAACTCATTTTATTTTCCATGTATTTTTCGTGATATCCATCCTGGTAGATATGCAAAGGTATCTCACTGTGGTTATGATTTGCATTTCCCTAATGACTAATGCTAGACATCTTTTCTTTTTTTATTTATTCTTTTTAGATATACGTGACAGTAGAGTGTATCTTGATAATATTATACATACATGGAATATAACTTATTCTAATTAGGATCTCATTTTTATGGTTATTACTGATGTGGAGTTGCACTGGTGATGTATTCACATATGAACATAGAAAAGTTATGTCTAATTCCTTTAATTGTCTTTCCTATTCCCATTTCCCCTCCCTTCCCTTCATTCCCCTTTGTCTAATTCACTGAACTTTTCTTCCATCCCCCCTCCTTGTTGTGTGTTAGTATCCACATATCAGAGAACATTTCTCCTTTGTACTCACTAAACATTTTCATCCCTTCCAAAGGAATCACCCTGTACCCAATGAGCAGTTTGCGCCCCATTATGAATTTTATATCTTACTACTTTGCTGAATTCATTTATGACTTCTGGAAGTTTTCTAGTGGAGGTTTTTGGGTCTCCTAAACATAGAATCATGTCATCAGCAAATAGGGATAGTTTGAGCTCTTCTTTCCTCTTCATATCCTTTTACTTTCTTCTGCATAATTTGCTCTGGCTAGAGTTTCAATGACTGTGTTGAATAGAAGTGATGAAAGAGGGCATCCCTGTCTTGTTCTAGTTTTTAAAGGGAATGCTTTCTTTTTTTTTATTTAGAATGTTGTTGGTCTGGGTTTAGCATATATGGCTTTTACAATGTTGAGATATGTTTCTGATATCCCTAGTTTTTCTAGTTTTTTGAACAGGAAGCAGTGCTGTATTTTGTCAAGTGCTTTTTCTGCTTCTATTGTGATGATCATATGATTCTTATCTTTAAGTCTATTGATATGATAAATTACATTTATTGATTTCCTTATGTTGAACCAAACTTGCATCCCTGGGATGAACCCCACTTGATCATAGTGCACTATCTTTTTAATATGCTTTTGTATGTAATTTGCCAGTATTTTATTAAGAATTTTTGCATCTGTGTTTATCAGCGATATTGGTCTGCAGTTTTCTTTCCTTGATGTGTCTTTGTCTGGTTTTGGTATTAAGGTGATACTAGCTCATAGAATGAGTTGGAAGGGTTCCTTCCTTTTCTATTTCATAGAATATTTTGAGGAGAATTGGTGTTAGTTCTTCTTCAAAGGTCTGGTAGAAATGTGATGATCATTACTATCTGAAGTACATGTATGAAGACATGAATTGATGTGAATATACTATGTATACAACCAGAGATATGAAAAATTGTGGTCTATATATGTAATAAGAATCGCAATCATTCTGCTGCCATATATAAATTTTTTAAAATTTACATTATTAAAAAAAAGTCTGGTAGAACTCAGCTGAGAATCCTTTTGATCCTGAGCTTTTCTTTGTTGGTAGGTTATTTTGTTATTATTTTTAGTTGTTTAGTTGTAGATGGTTGATACCTTTAATTTGTCTATTTATTTATTTTTATGTGGTACTGGGGAAGAAATCCAGTGTCTCACACGTGCGAGGCAATCACTCTATGGCTGAGCCACAACCCAGCCCCCATTGGTAGGTTTTTGATGGTGTTTTCAGTTTCATTGTTAAGCATCTTCTCATGAGCTTGTTGGCCATTTTTAAATGTCCTTGAAGGCCTGTCTATCTTTGGCTCATTTTTGAATTTTTTGATCCTTCCATTGTTGAGTCATAAGAGTTCTTTATATTCTTTGTATATTAAAAACCTTCCTAGACATACAATTTGAAAATATATTTTTTTCATTCTGTGAGTTTGTCTTTTCACTTTTTTATAATGTCCTTGAGGCACAAAAGTTTATAATTTTGCTGCTGTCTTGTTGAAGAATTGCCAAACCCCAAATCTGAATATTTAATCTGTTTTAGTAGTAATCTTGTAGTTCTAGCCTTTATATTAGGTAATTTATCTCTTTTGAGTTTGTTTTTGTGTTTGGTGCAAGATAACGGCCCAAATCCCATTATTTTGCATGTGAATATTCAGTCAAGCCAGCATTATTTGTTAAAACAGATAATTCTTTCCTCATAGACATCTTTGAATAGTATTTGCACCTTTGCCCAAAATTCACTTGGCCATAGATGTATAGATTTATTTTGGGATTCATAATTCTATCGAATTTTTCTGAACATCTATTATTTATACCAGTATTACATTGGTAGGATTTCAATGGGATTGCTTTGATAGCTTTGGTTAGTATTGCCATCTTAACCATAGTAAATCTTCCAGCTCATGAACATAGATTGATGGATTCCCTTTCTGTTTATGTAGTTCTTTGATTTCTTTCAACAAATTGTTTTCAGACTGGGTTCTAAAATGAGTCTCATATGAGCTGTTGAATCATGTTTTTAAGTCCATTTTCACAGTCTCTACTTTTTACTTGGAGAGTTTAATTAATTTACATTTAAATTACCAATAAAGAAAGTTTTTTTCTGCCTTCTTTAAAATTTTATTTTTAATTTTAGTTTTTATTTTGGAAGTAATAGTGATTAAACCCAGGGGTGCTCTACCACTGAGTTATATCCTTGGCCCCTCTTAGACAGGGTCTCACTAAGTTGCCAAGGCTGACCTCCAATTTTCCATCCGTCTGCTTTTTATTTTTTTTTTATGTTATATATATTATTTTTTGTTCCTCATTTCCTCTGTTATTGCCTTTATCTGTGTTTAATTGCTTTGTTGTGGTATACTGTTTTATCTTTTATTACATGTGTAGACAATTTCTTAGTGTTTACCATGGGAGTTATGAATGAACATGCTCAGTTCATAACAATATAGTTTGAGTTGATAGCAACAAGTTTTAATAGTATCAAAATAATTCTGTTTCTCTACAACTCTGCCCCTCTTTATATTGTTGTCAAAAATTGCTTCTTTATATACTGTGTATGCATTAATATGGATTTATAATTATGTTTTGTACATTTGTCTTTTAAATCATGCAGGAAATTTTAAAAGGAGTTACCAACCGAAAATACAATAATGCTGTTCTTCCTATGTTGTTACCTTTACAGAAAAATCTTGAGTTCTTTATATGAAACTGAATTAGTCTTTTGAACATCCTTTCACTTCTGCCTGAAGGACTCCCCTTAACATTTTTTAATAGGATAGGTCTAATGATAATGATGCTCTCAGATTTTTTTCTGGGAATGTCTTAAATTTTTATTTTCATTTATAAGGATAGTTTTGCTGGATATATAATTTCTATTCTTTTGGCACCCATGTCATTATTTTTTATTTTTGGCACTTTATATATTATCTCACTGCTTTCTGTCCTCCATGACTTCTAAAGAGAAAGCAAGTGATAATCCTACTGAGAAGGCATTTCTCTCTTGCTGTTTTCAGGTTTCTTTCTATGTCTTTGTCTTTTAACAGTCTGAGTGTAAAGTGTTGTCATGTGGATATCTTTGAAGTTTGTCTACTTGGAGTTTAATGAACTTCTTGAATATGTAGATCATGTTTTCCATAAAATTTGGAAAGTTTTCAGTCATTATTCCTTTACATATTTTTTCTGTCCCTTTCACATTCCTCCTTCAGGGACTGCCACAGTGCCTGTGTTGATCTTTTTGTTCCTTAGACTACAGAATTTCAATAGTCCCAGCTTCAAGTTCACTGTTTTTTTTTTTCCTCTCCCATCTCAAATCTGCTGTAGATCAGGATTCTAGAGTTAATCCTTTTAGTCTTTTTGTGCTCTGATTGTTTCTGTGGATGACTGATTCTTTGAATGTCCTGTTCTGCCATTTTCTATGTTGTTACCCAAGGACCTTATAGAGTATCTATTTGCCTTATCTATCTATGTCCTCCTGCTTAGAAAAAATACTGTTAATGCATGTAAAATATTTACAGATAAATTCTTTAACCAGAATTGTCTTTTCTGTAACAGGACTTCTAAACCATCAGTGGCTTAAACAAACAGAGTTTCATCAGAAATCCAGTCAATTATATGCCATGATTGCAGAATATGGTTCAAGACTTTATAATTACCAGGTGATGTTTTTTAAAGTTATTGTTGTATGTCACTCATTTAAAACTTAATATGCTACAGGACGGGTCTAGCTTGCAGTATGTGATTTGGTTTTGTGTGAGACTATCTTATAGAAATAATATATGAAGAAGAGTTCTTTTAAGTGGTCCTTTCCAAAGAGGCCCTAAAAATTCTCCACAGCTTCTGATCCTTACACGTTCCCCACTAGAAGCTCCAGCATAAAGAAAAATGGCAGATCAATCTTTATTGTTAAATTTTCTGATACTCTGAGCAGTATTTTCTTTCACCCTGAAGCTAGTTTGATCTCAGTGGGTTTAGATGGAGGCCAGTCCTTGATTATCTATCCTCTTCTGCTCCACCCCAGCCCAAGCACACCTCCCTAACATTTCACACTGAGCTTTATCCATTCTGTACTTAGACCTCAGAAAACGAGAGGGAAAAAGTTGATGGATCCATGGCCTGGTCTCCACTGCACCATGGGAAGAGGCAAATTGACTTGCATCCACACAGGTGCTGACCTTTTAACACAGAGGTGGCTCCATCCTGATCCTGGACTCCCTAAGGCAGGTCTTCTGACATCCTCTACTTCCCAGTTCATCCAGAAATGGTTATATTCCAATGTGTTTTGCCATGTGGAAACCCTAAAGAAAGGCAATTGCACAGGATGGTTCCTGCAGGATTCAAGGCCAGTGAAACATTTCCCTGGAAGTTCATGGGTTGACACCTGGAATCACTCCAAATCATAAAAATGTTTCTCTTTGTATATTCTGAGAATCTCTGAGCCCAAGTCCTGGACAAAAGTACAGTCTTGTGGAAACTCCACAGGGAGTCAGCCTCTGACAGATGGGCATCCTCACAGCAAAGACCAGAACCCAAGCCATTGGGAGCTGGGCCAGATAGTTAGCTCATTCCCAATAAAACAGAGATGAACATTCAGGGTGGACAGTAGAGGATCCAGTTATTGTCTGTTTATGACTTACCCTCATTGTGAAGGTTAATTTTTTATGTCCTCTTGGCTAAGCCACAGTGCCTCAATATTTGCTCAAGCCCAATGTAAATGTTACTATGAAGGAGTTTTTCAGATCTGATTAGCATGTAATCAATAGGCTTTAAATAAAGAGATTACCCTCTCTGATATGGGTGGGCTTTATCCAGCCAGTTGAGTAGCTCAAAAGAAAAAAAGAAAAAATGAGATCTCCTAGGGAAGAGGGAATTCTGTCCCCATATGATCTTTTTAAAATTTTATTTATTTTATTCATTTTAGTTGTTGATGGACCTTTATTATTTATATGTGGTTCTGAGAATCGAACCCAGTGCCACACACATTTGAGGCAAGCACTCTACTACTGAACCACAACCCCAGCTCTCTCCATATGATCTTTAAACTTGAACTACAGCATAAACTCTTCCTTGGATCTCCATCCTGCCAATTTCCCCTAACAATTTCAGACTTGCAAACCCCACAATTGCATGACCAGTTCCTTAAAAGAAAATCACACACATACACCCCAGATTAATTCTGTTTTTCTGAAATCCCCTAATACATTCATAAATATGTCTGGCAGGTTAAATATGTCTGGCAGGTACTGCTAGGGCCTGAGTATTTGGTAACCCCTCTGATCAGCATCCTCAACAGTGTTCTCCCTTTAAAAAGTGCCTAAGGCTCTAAGGGCAGTATTTTTATGAGACTGAAGTTGAGGATTAGTTACAATACAATCGTTTCACTTTTGCCCAGTGTTATGCTGGTTTTCACACACACAAAAGCCATCAGAAATCACTGGGGACTGATTGTGATTTAGTTCTATGTGAGCACTTTATAGATCTCAAGCTACATGCAGTAGATGCTGTTCCATAGCTTGCTTTGGTCAGCTTAATAACAATAGATTACACATGTCCCCTGTCTTTAGAAATTATTTTATAATATCATTTTATGGCTTATAAATAATATTTTCAGTTAATACTTATATCTGAACAATTGAACTGTTTCAAATTTTTCAGTATTATAAACATGAACATCTTGTGGCTAAGTGTCTTCAATCATCTTTGATTATTTACTTAGGATATGCTTCTTTTTTGTTCAAATTACTTACACATGATAGCAGAATGTATTTTGATTCATTGTATACAAATGAAGAACAACTTTTAATTTCTCTGGTTGTACACGATGTAGAGTTGCACCATATGTGCAGTCATACTTACCTAGAGTAATGATGTTCATCTCATTCCACCATTTTTCCTGTCCCCTGCCCCCTCCCCATCCCTCCCTCCCCTTTGCCCAATCAAAGTTCCTCCACTCTCCCCAGGCACGCCCCCCACCACCATTATGGATCAGCATCCACTTATCTGAGAGAACATTCAGCCTTTGGTTTTTTTGTTTGTTTGTTTCTTTCTTTTTTGGAATGACTTACTTTGCGTAGCATGATATTCTCCACCTCCATCCATGAACCTGCAAATACCATAATTTTATTCTCTTTTAATCCTGAGTAATATTTCATTGGGTATATATACCACAGTTTCTTTTTCCATTCATCTATTGAAGGACATCTAGGTTGGTTCCACAGTTTAGGTATTGTAAATTGAGCTGCTATGAACATTGTTGTGGCTGTGTCACTATAATATACACTTCTTAAAAAAGGATAAACATGGAGTATTTGCAATCCTGAGGTAATATTTTTATGTTAATGACTTAATACACCTTTTCAAAAAAAGCTAGATATGCTTCCTATTCTCCCACCATGAAGAACAGGATAACATCATGCATCCGAACCAGTCTTAAGCACATCAAATACATGTTTCACTTTAGCCTCAAAACGACCCTTTAAGAAAAGTCTTACTAGATCCATGAATAAATGAGGAAGCTTGTATTCGAGCAAGGAAATGCAGCAGCCTGAGGTTGTACAGCTACAAATCCTGAAGCTGAAATCTAAACACAAGACTTGGCTGTGACTCAACCTGCCAACTGCTCCCTGCTTACATGAAGGAATGAAATCTTATTGTCACACACAGTGTAGCCTCAGAAACCATCGACTTACTGGATGAATTTAAGACCATGATTTCAAATTATTTGATCCAGCATTTAACTGGTTTATATCTAAAGTCCCACATTAAGCAGCAAGCTTAATTATTTACCCAGGGACACAGACTGCAATAATTATGTCTTCTAGTATTCACCTGGAAGTTATACAGTTTAAAATTAAACATCTTAAAGAATTTTGTAGTGAGAATAAAATTAACAGCCATATGGCCAAATTTCATACACCTTACTGAATTTGTCCAAGCTAAATTATCAGAGCTATAGGTTTTAAGGCATACAATGTTGGGTTAGCAGTCAACATTATCTTAATAAAGCAAAACAGTACTGGGGCTATAGTTTAGTAGCAGAGCGGTTGCCTAGCATTACCCAATACTAGGGAAGATTTTTTAAAAGGCTAAGCAAATAAAGCTGAGGCTCTCTCTGCCTGTGGCCTTCTCTTGGCTGCCTCCACTTGCCACCTTTATACCCCAGGAGGCTGTAAATCCTCTATCTTCTCAATTGGCTGCACATGCAGACAGATTCTTTCTTAATTCATGATTAGAATTAACTACAGGAGTTCTGCCAGGAGTCCATCTTTGTTGCAGAAACAGTTTTCCTGCAGGCTGTGTACCCTGGATGCTGTGGCTGTCTTACACTCTTGGGGATTTGCCTGCCTGCAGCTTTGTGGTGAGGCTGCCTATCCACAGGGAGGGACGGAAAGGACAGGTTCTTAGAAAGCTGAATATCAGTCCTATTTCCAGAAGTGTTGCAGAGGGATTACAAACTGTACACAAAGCAGCCTCTGCAGTATTTTTCTTTTTTAAAAAATTTTTGCAGTACTGGGAATAGTACCCAAAGCCTTGGGCATATTAGGCAAGTGCTCTGTCATGGAGCTACACCTTCAGTCCTGAATCTGTTTCTGTTTTATACACTGTGGATGCTGTGAATTTTGATCATTCCTATTCCCACTCGAGTTAGTTGCCATGATTCTCAAAAACAAATTTATGACCCATAGCTAATGACTTCTAAGAATTTAAGACCCATGTATGTTCAAACATGCTTCTAGCATCATTTTACTTTTCCAACCTTTATTTTTTCTTTGCTTTTATGTCCTTGTTTATTTTTTGTCCTGCATGTTTTTATTCTACACACACACACACACACACACACACATATATACACATACACCTTCCTATAATGGATCAAACCTGAAAAGCTTTTGGGAATAGAGCAAAATACAAATGTTTTAAAAACTGTAGAAAGTTTTATTGTTTAAGGAGCTCTCAAATTCATTTATCAGCAAATTAATTAAGGAGTCTTTTCTATAGTTCTTTTAAGGCCAGAACAGAAGAAAGAAACATTGAAAACACAGACTCTACTGATAGGGAACTTACTCAAACAAACTGAAAAGCTAGAAATGAGAATTTCTACCTAGCTATAATAAGCTCCCAAATCCACATCCCTGCCAAAAGAAAAATGTTGAAGAGTGCCTATAAAAGATTGTATTGTTCAGCAGGGAAGAAAATGCCAGGTAGTTTTTTTCCTGGGTGCCACCCTGCATTCCATCCTGATGCCGTTATCATACATTGCACAACAGCATTTGTAAAATGTCCCTCTGTGTTGCACGGAGCAAACTGAGAAAAACTGATGGGAACTGAGATTCTTTGTAACAAAAAAGCAAATTAATCAGAGAAGAAAGATGGAGCAATATTTCCCAGATAACATTGTGTGTGTAGGGGAGAAGGGGGCTGGTGATTAAACCCAGGGTTTTGTGCATGGTAGGCAAGTGCTTTACACTAAGCCAAAACTCCCAGGCCCAGATAACATTGATGTTTTCTGCAGGGAGTTGAAAGGTGACCCCCTCAAAAGATAAGTCTACATCCTAACCCTCAGAATCTGCTCGACCTTAATTTGGAAAAAGGGATCTTTGCAGATGTAATTAATATTCAATCAACCTGGATAATGGGCCTTGAATCCAACAAGTGTCCCTATAAAAGACACATGGAGGAGAGAAACATGGAGAATAGAGGCTGAGACTGGAGTGATGTAGCCACAATCAAGAATGACAAGAGCCCTCAGAAGCTGGAGGAAATAAGAAACAACTCTCCCTGAGGGCCTTTCAAAGGTACCCTGTTGGCACCTTAATGTCCAACTCCTGGCCTTCAGAAAGAACTGTGAGAGAATACATTTCTGGTGTTTCAAGCCTCCCATTTGCAATCATTTGTTATAGCAGCCCCAGAGACCTCATACAGTCTCTTTGAGTTTTCTTTGGAACTCCTGAAAGGTGGGCTTTGTTACCAAAAGGAAATGACCAATAAGTACATGGATGCCTCTTTCAGACTGACAGGAGAAATTTTCACTTAGGACAGAAGTTCAGGAAAAAACTGATGGAATCCTACACAATAGAAGCTATAATTTATCCAATGGAGTTATTGCTTGAGTCAGACCTGGTTTTTATTCCTCCACTATGGTTTGTGCTATTTTCCTAACATAGTGAAATGTACCATACTCCTGAACCAACAATAAACCATGTTCAGTAAATATATATGTCAGTGAAAGTGAGTTCTGAACCAGAAAGAAAGAATGTCAGAGGCCATGAGTGCTGCTGACCATTTGTATCAGGATCCTCTTTTTACATGTCTCCTCTGTCTGCTACTAACTGCTCTTGTTGGCTCCCACACAGACCCTTCTGAGCATTCTGTTAGAGTAGGTGCTAGGCGTGCATGCATGTGTGTGTGTGTGTGTGTGTGTGTGTGAGTGTATATGTATGCTTTTTAATGGGTGTATATGTGTGCTAAGAGCACATGTGTGTATGTGTAAAAGTGTGTATATGAATGTGCATAATTGTGTTTGAGTATGCCTGTGTGAGTACGTAGATGTGTGTGTGCTAATCCCACGCTTGAGTACAGGTGGATGAGGAGGATGTAGGGAGCTTCAGGTTGCTCCCAGGTCTGTAATCTTACGGTGTCTGAAATGGGAGCATCCAGTCACCATCACACATGGGAGAGCCTGGAAAAGACAGAATAGGATAAGCTCATGGGAACAGAGGCACTGGCTGCCCTGCTGAGGTCTTTTCAGAGTGGGGAAATGGCAACTGGGCTACATCCTGGACAGAGGCACAGGGTGTGCAGCAGCCCTTTGTGCACTTCCAGAGTGCAGACCCCACAATCCTACACCATCTCTCCATTGTTTGTCTCCTTACAGATGCTTCATAATGCCTCCCTCCAACGCACATCAAGAGTGTCCAACGACCAAATTCATTTCCCCTGATCTCATCTTGGCTAGGGCACCACCTGCCCAATCCTTACCCAGATGCCTTGTCAAGATTAGACACAACTGCTTTTCTGATTTTTATTGCTGACCTAACCCAAAGTTAATCACATCTTTTTTTTTTTTTTTTTTTTTTTTTTTTTTAGAAATGGAGGATTCCAGGGCTCCTTGTTTTACAGGGATAAGCCAAAGGGCTCAGCATGATACTCTAGGCTCTAAATCATCCTAGACTCTTACCCTTCCTCTCCCTCCTTCCCCCTGTCCTCTCTTCCTCTCCCACTCTTAGACCCTGTTTAGCACTTTTAAAAAACAGGAAAGGATAACACCATCTTAGAGTTTCAGTTGGATGCCCCTCTTTATTAAGTAGATCTCTGTGTCACTCTTCTTCTCCTAGTATAATAACCATGCACAGGTGAGACTGAGAAAGATGTGGACACTTTGGAGGATACTCCTATGTCTCCCATCATCGCATGTTCTGAGCCCCAAGGGTTCAAGTGTGATTTCAAAAGTAAACTCAGTCAAATAGGCAGGATTCCTAATGACTTACCATTTATCTGTCTATCTACCTATCTACTTATTTATTTATTTCAGATCAGACTTCGTATGCCTAAAGAGCAACTGGAACTCTTAAAGTAAGTAAGATATTTGTCACTCTGGTGTGGTTCCAATGCTGAAATGTTTTTGTACAATGATAAAACTAAAGTCATTTCCCCATATTGTCAAGCCATATTTCTTCATGCCAGTCAAGAACATATTTTTCTGGCCATTTCCTCTTTTCTCCCATAAAAAAAGCAGTTTGCTTTAAAATAACATATATGAATGAGTGAGGGAGAGCAATTTTCTTGGGTTATTTCCTTATATAAATTCAAATAAAATTAAACATACTAATTGTAAATTAGAAATGATACACACAGACCAATTCACTTCTAACCCTCTAGTTGTTTTCATTTTTTCTTCCTCTTCTTCTTTCCTTTCCATTGTAATGTGTGCACAGAGAAATGCTAGGCATAGTGTCACGAAATATGAATGATGATAAATTCTAGGAGTGAAGTTTTGGGAAATATTATTTCTTATATTTCTCTGTTGTGTTTCTTTATAGTAAGTATGTTTTTGTAAACCAAAAATATAGCATTTTTATTGCTTTAGGAAATTACTTGCCCTTTGATATGTTTCTACTTCCATGGATCATTCCTTAAGAAATATATAATATATAATTATATATAAATCATATATATAATGTGCTTCCAATATTATTTTTGATTATAAGAAATGGAAGACAACCTAGATGAGAAAAATAGGCCATTATTTAAATACATTAGAGTCTACTCATGTAATGGGGAATTATGAAGCCATTAAAATAATTCTAAAATATATTTAGTGATTTTAGAATGTTTTGGAACACACAATTACAAATATGATCTCTGTTTTGTTACTGATTTTTTTGCATGGAATAAAAACTATTAAAAGCCCACCAAAATTTAAAATTTGTTTGCTTCTTTGAAATATTTGTATTTTCGCAATTTTAAACATGTATTTAACAATTTTGGGAAAAATACTATAGATATAGTGCTTATATTTATATCAATATCAAGAAATACCTGTTCACTTGACATTTTCTTATTCTCTTTATAAGTAATTTTCAAGCTGTAAAAGTAGTACAAAAAGTTCTCGGAAACAACATCTTGCACATTTGAACTGTAAAACCAGCGAAAGCACTTCTAAGAACTTCCACAGAACTCTAGGCCACAGTTTGAAAATTGGTGCTTTGTACTGCTCTTGAAATGTAAGGTGTCTCAATTTGAAAGAGTATGACGTTTGTGATTTAGGATTCACATGTGTAAAGTCACCCAACTGAAGGACAATCAAAGTTGAGCCTTGCCTGCCCCAAGTGGAGCACAGTGAAGCATCAGGACACCCTCAAGACATGTCTTCTGAATGCCTTTGCTTATTTTACGTAGTGAAATATAATGCTTTTGACAAATGTGCCTTCCCTTCTCTGTCCTTCCTCATATGATTATGTTTCCCATTGCTGGCATGGAAGCCCAGCACCCTCAGATGACAGGGACTTTAAGTCTCACTTCTTTACCTTATAATTCTCCATGTACAGGAAGGAAAGCCAGACTTTGGAAAACAATTTTCGTGAAATTCTATTTTTAATTGAACAAATAGATGTTCTGAAAGCATTACTTAGAGATATGAAGGCCGGCACATACAATTACAGCTGGAACGTCCAAGGAGACACTGCCCAGGACCAAGACAGCTCAGAGATGCTGGATGAGGCAAGGCGGGCTGGAGGCATGGGAGGCTGGGGTGGTATTAAACAGGATTTCCCATTGCTAATCCCACTGCTCCTCTGCCCTGGGACCCGACTTCCCACCGTCTGTTTAACTTGTGTCCTTTTTGACATTCTCCCCTGATACTTTCTTTCACTAGAGCTTGCCCTAGGAAACTCACTTTTTCACCAGTGCTGTGTCACAAGAAGATGCTGGATTGCAGTATGACTTACTTGCCACAAAAATCAATTGATTCAGTTTCATTTTTCAAAGTGTTGTTTAGAATTAAAATATCTGTACAAAATATATTTCCACAAAAACAAAGTATTTAGAATTAAATATTTGTACACAAATATTTAGATAGTAAGAAATTTTTATTTCCCATCCTGCTAAGCTAGTAATTTAGGTCAGATTTTGACAAAAGCTTGGCTTTGCTTCTCTTCTACTGACACCAGCACAACCATCTTTCTCTTCCTCACTATGTTTTGAAATGCCTTGAGATCTGACACTGACCTTCTGCTGTGTCCTGGGCCGATTTTATCCTTGTCACTGTGACAAAGTATTACAGTGAGAACTAGAACTGCTATACCTGCTCAGGATACTTGTTTATTTTAAAAGCAGAACATCCTTCAGAATTCAGTAAATTAATTCAAGTGGATGGAAATTTTCTAATGTAAGCAATCATCCATTCTTTGTAAACTGCCTGAGTACCAAATAAGTACAGAATGTTCAAGTCTTTATTGTTACCAAATAAGGACAGAATGTTCAAGTCTTTATTGTTAAACATTAGGACACCAATGAACAGCTTACATAGCACAACCCTATCTCACACTCCACAGGGGAATGCTATGGTGTGCTGGACAGGGATTCAGATGGGGCCCTGGTCAACCTTGCTGTGTGGCTATGGGAAGTCCCTGAAAATATCGTAGTTTTAGTTACTTCATGTGTCTGAGAAGGGCCATTTCCATAGAATTGTGAAAGTGTCATTCCAAATGCATAGATCATAAGCAGTTTGAGAGCTGTTCAAACTGTTATTATTTTACAGAGTTGGGAACTTAGGTTCAGATCAATAGTAAATAGCCAAAACTCAAGCAGTTGATAGATATTGTTAAAAAGAAAATTTTTTACAATTTTTACAGGAAATGTCAAACTTGGTACATTATGTACTCAAAAAGTTGAGAGGGGACATGGTACAAATGGCTGATTATGCCCTGAAGTCAGCTGGTGAGTACAGAAAATGTGGAAAGCTAACTATAAAAAAAATAAGGAATCCTTTAAGTAGGATCTCTCTATTCTTTAAATGTCTTTATTAGAAAAACATATTTATCCACATGTAACTTACAAGAGGGCAAGCCTAATCAAACCAGGTAATAAAAAAGAGATTAGAAATGATTGTCTTTTATGTTTTCTGAATGCAAATCTTAGAGGTCATGAAAACTGTGCATCTTCATTAGCATGCAACTAAAAAGACCACAAAGAAAGTAAAGAATCGGGCTGGGGTTGTGGCTCAGCAGTAGAGCGCTCACCTAGCTCATGCGAGGCCCTGGGTTCAATCCTCAGCACCACATAAAAATAAATATGCAAAATAAAGGTATTGTGTACAACTAAAAAATAAATATTTAGAGGAAAAAAAGTTGAGATGCCACAAAGAAATTAGGGAAGGCAGAAAATATTTTAAGCATAGCAAACAGAAAAATATTTTATATTATTATATACTAAAATTACTCATACATGTAATAAATCTAAATGGATTATTAGTGACTAAGTACCAGTGTTTATATGTCATTTACTTTGAACAACCAACAATAAAAATCAAAGAAAAAAAATACACCTGAAGCTAGATAGTTAATTAAAAAGAGGTATATTTGCCAGGCATAGTGGGACACATGTGTAATCCCAGTGACTCCAGAGGCTGGGGCAGGGAGATTCCAAGTTTGAAAGCAGTTTTAGTAATTTAGACGAGGTAACTTAGTGAGGCCCTGTATCAAAAAAAAAAAAAAAAAGACTAGGGATAATGCTCATGGTAAAGTGCCTCTGGGTTCAGTTTCCAAGTAATCTCCTTACCTCTCAAAAAGAGGCTTATTGAGCCTATAATTCTGAAGGTTCAAGAGTATAGCCCTCTACTGAGTGCCTCATGGTAGATGGCATCGAAGTTATGGTTGCTCATAAAGAGTTTACATGGCTATACTGAAAGGGGTAGAGCCAGTCTTGCTTTTTTTTTTTTTCTTTTTTAATAAGGGCTGCATTTGCATAAACTTATTCCTGGGGACCTTCATCCCTTCTAAGGGCAATGCCCCTAGTGGCCTAATTACCTTCCATTACTCCTTACCTTTTAAAGTGTCTACCACCTTTCCCTACCACTACACTGAGGACCAAGCCTTCAATACATGAACCCTTGGAAGACAAACTGCATTCAAACAATAGCAGGTGTTGTTTACATGCCATAAAATTCACCTATATTAAGTGTACAGTTCAAGGACTTTCAGCAAATTTTCTGATTATGTGCAAAATATATCACAGTCCAATTTTAGGAAGATCCCTCATACTCTTTTATACTTAATTCTTATTTTTATCTCTAGCCTTAGGTAACTAATCAGTTAACTTTTTATGTTTGTACATTTTCCTTCTGGATATTTTATGTAAGTGGAATCAGACAGTGTATGGTCTTTCGTGTCTGACCTGTTCGACTTAGTAAAGTATATTTGAAGTTCAATCATGTTGCTGAATTTGTTCATCAGCTTGTGTATATTTGAATTCTTTCAGGTTGGAGGATATTATTATAAATAAATAATGTTTACATGACATTTGCATGCAAAAAAAATAAAATAAATGTCATTTACAAAATAATATTCTTAATATCTTCCAGTTGAAATTAATTCTTAAGAGTTAAAGCTATAAGTCATTAACCTTAGTAATCTCTACAATGTCCTGCCTATTAACAATCTATGAGCAGTATGTGTTCAATGAGCAATGGATAAGGAAAGAGAGGAGGGGAAGAAAAAGTACAAGAGACAATTTAGAGGAAGTGGCCTAATTCTTGAAATATGCAAACTACCAAAGGTCACTTAAGAAGAAGTAGATAATGATAATGTACATTTATTAGAGGAATAGTTAAAAACCCTTGTTAAAAAAAAAACAACTCTGGGAGTAGGAATGTAATGCAGTAGTAGAGTGCTTACACAGCATATGCAAAGTCTTGGGTTGATGTCCAACACTGCAAATAAATAAAATGAGAAAGAAAACACTTAAGCCTAAAAGTTTCACTTTTGCCCCTTTTATCATCATGTAATATCCTTCAATAAATATTATCAAATTGAGTCCAATAATACATAAGAATGATAATACAGCATGACTAAGCAGGGTTTCTCCTAGAGCTACAAGTCCAGTTTAACCTTTGAAAAATAAATCCATTTACTTGCTACACCAACAGATTAAAAATATAGTCATCAGATCATCAAATTAGATCCACTGAAGTCCCTTAACAAAGCTCACTGCATCAACAACTTATCTATTCAACAAACTAAAAAGAAACTTCCCTCAGCTTGATAAAGGATACCTGAAAAATTCCTTCAGCTAGTATCACACTTATTTTTGAAACAGATAAGTGTGAATGTTTTCCCCTAAGATTTAAAACAAAGTAATATTATCTACTCTCACCATTTCTTTTTTTTTAATTTCCTTTTTTTTAATTAGCTACACATGACATTACAATGATCTTGGTATCTACTCTCACAATTTCTAATCAACATTGTAATTAAAGTTCTAAACAGGTGAGGCAGGAAGCAAAATAGGTACAGAGAGGAAGAGATAGGGAAAGAAAAGGCAAATTGGAAAGAAAGTAATAAAAACTTCTCTACTCATAGATAACATGATTGTTTACAGAGAAAATTACAAAAGAAAATCTAGAATAAGTGAGGCTTGAACCAGTGTGTATGTGTATGTGTGTGTGTGTGTGAGTGTGTGTGTGTGTGTGTGTGTGTGTGCGAAATATGAAATACTTAAGTATAAGTCTTATCAAAATACGTGGGGGATCTGTGTACTAAAAACTAAAAACATTTATAAAACAAAAGAAGACCTAAGTAAATGGATAGATATACTATGTTCATGAGTTAGAAGACTCAATGCCATGAAGATCTCAATACTCTTGAAGTTTGTAGAAATTGAAAACCTATTTCTAAAATGTATATGCAGTGGCAAAGGAATTGCAATATCCAAGTCAGTTTTGAAAAAACAATGTTGGAATTCATACTACCTGATTTTAAAACTTATTATAAAGTTACAGTAATCAAGAGATCATGGAGTTAATTTTGAAATAAGCCTGTAGGACACCTATAGGACAGACAAAAAATAAGGCTGACTTCTAGTACTAATACTGACCCCAATTAAGTGGAAGGAATAACTGTAAAGTTATAGACATTAAAGTTTAAACCACTTTAAGACTGATGAAACTGACCTGCTGGATGTTTAAAACCAAAACAATCAAAAAAGGTAAAGGGCTAAAAAAAAAAAAAAAGTCAATATTTTGGCTCTTGCCCTCTGAGGTCAGCTAGTTCCTAGGGAGCTTGAGACTTCTCTAAGGGCTGAACCCTACCACTTTGATGAGTCAACTGATCTACCAATTAGGGGGATTCTGCAGAGAAGAAGGTCATTGGAGAGGGAAATGTCCCTGATGCTTCCAAGGTAAGTCACATGTGGTCAGCAAGACTCCGACCCATCCTGGAAGATGCCACTAAAAAAGCTAAGAGGCAAGTTCCCAAAGTGACCCTAAGGAATCTCAGCTGACTTTTAGTAATAGATAGGAAGGGACAAGCTCAATTTTTACCAACTTGGTCTTAACTAGCTGGCATAAGAGTTTAACCAAAGCATAGTCCATTACATGGGTATTTTAATGAAAAGACAATGGTTCTTTTAATGTAACTAGAGATGTACATTTGTGTGAGGCCTCCCCAAAATAAGTAAAAATGTGAAGTTATCTTAAAAAAATAAAAAGTCTTTTTTTTTGTACAGGAGTGCCTGATGCACAATGCACAAGTTTGTTTTGAGTCAGCTTGAGACCTGACTGTGTTCTTTTTTTCCTGGTATGATTACTACCAACTGTTACTCAGACTCCCCTCTAGAATTTACAGTTCATCACTTCCTGCCTGGGACTTGATTTTAATCAAGACCTGGAGAAAAGATAGTCTTCAACCAAGCTGGAAAAGACCTTACCAAGTGCTCCTGATCACTAAGATTGCTATCTGAACTGCTAAAAAAAAAAAAGGAAGAAGAAGAAGGGAGAACTCATTACCAGGGGTGATTTTCACCTCAAAAAGTTAATATGTCTAGGATGGTTGGCAATACCAGAAGGTGTAATGAAAATGAAACCAAAAGGTGTAAAAAGAAAAAAGGGAGGATTTGTGAGAAGTAAAAAGTCTGGTGGTCCAATTTCAGAATATAGTGTTCAGGCTTAATTGGATCCAATTGTAGCCATTTTCATTACAGTCCTTCCCTTTTGCCCATCCCAATTTTTAAATTAGCCAATCATGTAGACTGTATCCCAGAGTCCTCCAGTCAGGGCAAAGGGTAGTCCACATTAGGTATATAAACCAGTAGATTGCCTGCCCAGGGTGCTTGCTAGCTAGGTTCAGGTAGCACACCCTTCTGGCAGAAGTAAAGGTTTGCCTTGCTTACCCACTTTGACCACATCTTTGATTTCTTGTAGCACCTCATTATTTCTAACAATGAATTCAATGAAATAATAGAAAGTCCAGAAATAATTTACCATACATGTGGTAAATTGATTTTTGACAAAGTAGAAAAGTCAAAGACATTTATTTGCAAAAAAATAAAATAAAAATAAACCTTCATTCACATTTACAAAATAGCTCACATTTTATAAAAAATGAACCCCAAATGGGTCCCTGGTCTAAATGCACAGGTTAAAGATATGAAACTTATAGAAAAAAGGTAATATTTTTAGTCTTGTATTAGAGAAAAAAAATTCTTAAACATGACACCAAAAATGGGGCCCCTCAAAATTAACTTCTACTCTGCAAAAGACAAACGAGAATTAAAAGACAAGTCACAGGCTTAGAGAGAACATTTGCAAACCACACAGAGCAAACATGACTTCTCAAAAGACAGAATTTCAGTGGTAATAAAAAATGTCATTTTTCCTACCTATTCCTGAGAATGAGTTTTATCTCCATTATAATTTTCCCAGTAATAATTTTCCAAGGTCATCATTAAAATGATATATTTTGAATTATGTATTTAATTTTTTATTTTAAAAATATTTTATAATTTTAGGAGCCTCTATCATTGAAGCTGGGACCTCAGCAAGTTATAAAAATAATAAAGCAAAACTGTACTGGCATGGGATAGGATTCCTAAATTATGAAATGCCTCCAGATATTATTCTTCAGGTAAAAGTTAAATTAAGAAGAACCAAGTTCTATTTGATTTTATGATAATTTATCATGAAAATGTTAACATTTAAAATGGAGGCAGTGTGACATTGTTCAAACTTATTACATACCTGAAATCTTCTTACATTTTAAGTAATTATACTGCATTAATCCCTTCTTGTTTTATAGTCATTAAATTATCATTGATGACCATATGTTATTTAGAGACAAGTGAACTAGATTATTTGATTCTCAAATAGAAAATATAAATTCCGTATCTTGATTCTGTGGCCTCTTTTCCATTGAAAATTTCAGTTGTTCAGACAACATTTATCAAAAGTGCTTGTGTTCTCAATTCTAGTGTTTTGATAAATGCTATTCACATCACATGTTCTTAAGACCATTTACAACTAAAGCAATAACTAAATAAGATTTCCACTGAAACTTTCAGATACATCCCAAAGGCAGTAGATGTTAACAGACTGTAGGGCATGTCTTAACTACAATCCACATATCTGAAGTTGGTTTCAAATTCAGAAATACCTCCAGGGTCAACTCTGAATCTTATTCCAAGTCTTATTTTGGATTTAGACAGTGATACACACCTTGTTTTCCTTTACCATCATCATCCCTTCAACCACCACAATCATTACCGCCACCATTGTCTTTAGCACAACCGTCTCCATCACTACCATTACCACCATCATGTCACTTCCACCCACGCATCACTGACTTCTCATTCACTACCATCACCATGATCTCTACCACATCACTTCTGTTGTTACCATTATTAACCACCATCGCCATCACCACTATTACCACGATCATTTCCACTATTGTCACTGTGGTCATTCCCAAATTTACCACCGTCTCCATTGTCCCAATCATTATTACCAAAACCATCACCATCACCACCTCCACCATCACTTCCACTGCTATTATTATTACCACCATTATCACTACCACCACCACTACTGTCTTCATTAGTGTCATCAGCACTACCACCATTCATCCCCTTCAGCTGCCTTTTCGTATTTCAAGGTCCAACTAGAGCAGTGAAAGAAACATGCTCATATGATAAAGAGCTCTGATTAACAGAAGAATAAAGTACTCTGGAAAAACAATCAAACCTAAGGGGTATCTTAGAAATTTTTCTTTTGATATATATCTTGAACAAAGGATCTGCAGTCAATAGTGATTTGTTCCCCTGTATTCCAGGGTAGATTTACATACCCAAAGAAGAGATTAATTTGATGTTTTCTTTTCCAGCCAGATGTCCATCCTGGAAAATGCTGGGCCTTTCCAGGTTCCCAGGGTCATATTCTAATCAAGCTTGCCAGGAAAATCACACCAACAGCTGTTACCATGGAGCACATTTCAGAGAAAGTGTCACCCTCAGGAAACATCTCCAGTGCACCCAAGGAATTTTCTGTCTATGTGAGAAACTATCTAAATATGTCATTAAAAGCTGGATTATCATATTAATGATACAACTAACTAGTTGTATTACTTACTTCCTGGGCCTTGGCCTTATTATCCTCAAAGTGACAGGATTAAACCAGATGATTTCTATTGCTTAGTTTTATTTTTTACTTTTATCAGTTATATGTGTACAAAAAGTTATACATGTCCATAAAGTTTATATTATCTCACTTCTCCTTGTTCCCAATTCTTTCCCACAGTTTTAGCTGTTTTGGAGGGTCCTTGTCTTCATATTTGCTTGTCCATTATTTCTTCATTTTTCAGTTTTGATTCTTAATTATTCAGTTTTGCTGACATCCTCCAGTAGAAAATGAATTATTAACTCTCTTCCGTGGGTTCCCATCATCCTCCCAGGATCTTTTTGTTAAATTCACATAACATTTAGTTTACTCATTTGAAGTACACACTTAGGAGCCTTTGGTATATATACAAAATCATGTACCTATCACCATAATCAACTTTAGAACATTTTCATTACCCCCCCAAAAAAATCTCCACATGACTTAGCTGTCACCTCTAATTCCCTCATCACAAGCCTAGTCCTGACAACCACTACTCTACTTTGTCTCCATAATTTTACCTATTTTGGACATTTTATATAAACAAAATCATATTAAATGTAGTCTTTAGTGAATAATGTTTTAAGGCTCATCCATGCTGTAATGTGTCAATATTTGATTTCTTTTTAAATTGCTGAATAATATTTCATTGTATAAATAAACCACATTTTGTTTGTTCTTCAATTGGTAAACATTTGAATTATTTACAGCTTTTTTTTTTTTTGGCTATTATGAATGACGCTGTTGTCAACATTTGTGTAAGAATTTGTGTGTGGACATTGTTTCTTTAGAGTATATACCGAAGATTGAAATTGCTAGATTTCACGTGGTAGATTTATATTTAATGTTTGAGGTACTGCTAAGATGTATATCTTACTTTTTGTTTGAATCAATATTCAGTGGTAATCAATTTCATGGTAACTGTGTGAACAATATTGTTCTCAGTTGAGTTGTATAAGGTACTTGAATACTATTCTCTTTTTTTGCATGATTTTTGATGTGCCTTATTTTTTATTTAATTTGCTTGGTTTGCTATAGTTCTATCAGTAACATTACCAGTCTCTTAAGCAGAAGTATAAATATTCTCCCTTTATTTAATTCATGTCATATAATTTATGTTTCCTCTTCCCTTCCCTTCCCTGCCCTTCCTCTTTCCTTCTAGGATATTCCTTATGTAGCTCTGCCATTCTGCCGGTGGTTGCTAGGTGGGCCTGATGCTTACCTATTCTTATGGGATTTCATTTCTGCCAACTGAGGCTTTAACTTATATAACCTATTTTTTGTTTTTATTTGTTTCTCTCTTATTTTCCCTCTCTGTTTTTTGTTCTACTTCTGAGTGACTATCCATTTGCATCTTAATCCCCATGTTGAATATTTAATTTCTGCTATCACATTGTACTTGTTAAGACATTGGTTGCCATAAATATTCCCTTTCTTAGGCTCTGAGTTTTTCTTTCATGGATGAAATATCTTCTCTTAATGCTTCTGAAGAAATTCATTGATAATAGTTAAAGTTTTATTTAATTTTTTTCCTGCTCCCTCCTATTTTTATTTCCAGGTATCCTTTGTCCTGCTTGTTTATAGGATCTCTATTCTTTTTGAAAAAGTCCTTCCTCAAATGTCTGTGAGGCTTTTCTATCACATTAAGAGTTTGCTAATAGCCAGGCATGGTGGTGCGCACTTGTAATCCCAGCAGCTCAGGAGGATCAGAGGTCAGAGCCAGTTTTAGCAAAAGTGAGGTGCTAAGCAACTCAGTGAGACACTGTCTCTAAATAAAATACAAAATAGGGCTGGGGATGTGTCTCAGTGGTCAAGTGCCTCTGAGTTCAATTCCTGGTAGCCCCCTCCCAAAAAAATTTTCTGATAAAAATTTGGCCACAAGCTCTGTGCTCATGGTGGGGCTTATGAACAGCAAGTTCCATAGGTGGAATGTCTGGTTAGCTATTTCTTCTGGAGCCCCAGAATGTGGAATTGGGCAAGTTGACCCTGAGAGGAGTCCTGCAACAGGAGGTACAGGCTTGGCTGAGAACACACTGGAGCTGCTGGGAAGGAAGGGGAGGTACAATACCAATTCAGGACATAGGGCAGGATCAGCCCTTTTATTTTAGCTGTATTAGGGCTGTGCCTGTCAGAGCTGGAGATAGACCAGAGATCCTGCAGAGCCAGGTAAGGGCAGAAATCTACCATGGACTAGAAGTCTAACCTCTTTTTTAAAAAACTATCCCAGGCCTCAGATCTTCTTCTTTCTTCTCACCCGATAGCCCCAATCCCTGGGCCTTTCTGGTTCTAGCACTGTATGTCCATGTGCTGCTGATTTCATCTCTAACAAGAGAAGTTTATGTTTCCTTCAGATCCCATTTAGCCACTTCCATACTTTTTTTTTGTCTGAGAGTGTAATCACCCTTCACCCCACCACCCACCATTGGGTTCATGCTTTTTCAATCCTGTGATGTTACTTGCTAGAGGTGGCCTCAGTGTTAAACAGCTTGCCTCCTGTGTCCTCTGAAAGCATCTAGCTTCTGGGGCTCTGAGGCTGCTAGGCAGAAGACCATTGTGTTCTTATGCCAGCCTATACCCCAATCGCAGGTGTACCCTAGAAGTTGAGTTAGGGTGAAGTTGAACAGATCCAGTCCTGTCTCAGACATTGCACATAGCTGCTCATTGTGTAGGGGAATTTGAGTGGATTCTGCAGGCAGGAATCCTTCAGGTAGTCAAGATTACTTCTTGTTATTTTTATTATATATTAGAGAATTTATTGACCAAGTGAAATTTAAATACAGGTCTTATAAATGTGAATATAAAATTAGCACTCCTCTATTAGTAAGCTAAAGGAACTCTATGAGGCTTAAACCGTATCTACGTATATGTAATGTATATATGTAACTGTGAGTACATTATGTAATCATGATGTCCCTAATTATTTTAATAAAATGGTGCTGTTTTAATATTAATACTTTCACTATAAAATTATTAAACTTCCATAATTTAAGGAGTCTAGTAATAATCTTCAAGTTCTCAAAATAAATTCATTTGCACCAGTTCATTCTCCTCTCACAGATCTTCAATTTGAGGGGTAGAAAAAGAAGGGAAAAAACACAGGGGAATTGCATAAAAAGACCAAAATTTCTGTTCAGTAACAAAAGCTGGATATAGAAGGGTCAACAAGGATGTTCTTGTCTAAATTTTATTCAAACTATGTTGACTTCAAATTGTCAGTGTAGATGCTGGGATTCATTTTACATCTATCTGTCTTATCTATCATCCATCTTCTCCCTAGCCATCTCATTATCATTTTTCATCTATCTCCCTTTTTATCTTTCTGTCATGCTCTGTCATGTATCTACCTATCTTATTTATTTATTTTTTTAGCACTGGGGCTTGAACCCAAGGTTAGGTAGATGCTAGCAAGCACTCTACCGTTGAGCCACACTCCAGCCCACCACATCTCCCTATCAGTCATCTACCTATTATCTGTCACTCTACCCATCAGCAATCTTTGATCTGTCTCCTTACACACACACACACACACACACACACACA